TGTTCACGTCTCTTGTTCAGTTTTTAATGAGGTTGTTTGATGTTTTCCTGTTAATTTACTTGAGCTCTTGTGGATTCTGGTTATCAGCCCTTTGTTGGATGTGTAACATGCAAATATTTTCTCCCATTCTGAAGTTGTCTTTGTGCTTTAAAAATTGGAGATTTTAGGTAACACATTTTAGCAACTGTGATATGTTCTTCTGAGGATTGCCAGTGTTTTACATGTATTCTAGCTGGAAGTTAACTTGCCTTGTCTCAAACTGTGAATGGTTTCCCTTGCAGTATGCTGCTGCTCAGTTCTTTCACCTTCTAGCTGTTCCTTTCTCAGTGTGGTTCCCTGATTCCTTCCCTTCTCTCCCTGCTCTGAATGCCACCATGGTTTAGTAGTCAGCCAAGGATTTGGGCAGAATTTATGCTCAAATTTTTACCTCACCCCTTTTGCAGTTCTCTTACTTTCACACTATCCCTGCTGAATTTTCAGCCACTCTGCCAGACCCAAACTCTGTTCTTTGTCTTTTTAAAACAGCAAGACTGTATATTGTGCTGTCAGAGGTACAAGAACTGGGGATCATCCTCAAATCAAAAAGCCACAAATTCCCATTGCCTGCCCATTCCAAGGATTAATCCATTTCAAGGATAAATTTTCCTGGTTGTTGCCTGCTTTTGGTCACTTTCAAATGCCTTCATAGCTAGGTGCAGTGGTATATATATATCTGTAATCCCAGCTACTTGGGAGGCTGAGGTGGGAGGATTGCTTAAATCCAGCTCAAGGCCAGCCTGGGCAACATAACAAGATCCCATTTTAAAAAATAAATAAAAGTGATATCAAAGAGTTGGACACTTCTAACATATTTCGTTCAGGTTTTATAATCATCATGTCATAAATAGCTTGGACACTCAACTCATTCTACTATTCCAGGAACTAAACTCTCAGCAATTATAACTCTCAAGATGAGAGAACTCCATGTCGCTCTCTGTCATTAAAATCTAAAGTCTATGCTAGGGGCAGTGGCTCATGCCTGTAATCCTAACACTCTGGGAGGCCAAGAAGGGAGGCCGGCTTGAGCTCAGGAGTTTGAGAACAGCCTGAGCAAGAGCAAGATGCCGACTCGACTAAAAATAGAAAAAATTGTTTGTGGGAGGAGGCACACACCTGTAATCCCAGCTACTTGGAGGCTGAGGCAGGAGGATCAGTTGAGCCTAGGAGTTTGAGGTTACAGTGAGCTGTGATGATGCCACTACATTCAACCTAGGAAGATAGAGGGATACTCTATCTCAAAAATATAAATAATAAAAATAAAAGAATCTCATGTCTAGTGAT